CATGCTCGCCCTTTCAGCCGTGGGGGCGTTATAATGTTACGCTCAATCCCACTAGTCGTTGGTAAAAGAGTAGCCCAAGAGTTGGCGGTGAGTGATGATGACTAGTTGACTTCCTTCTAGTCTTTCACTGCTAAATTAGGGGACGACTAACGCAAATAGCCCTCGTGTAGCTTTGCGCGAAATTCAAAAAGCAAACCAATCGGTTATTGAGAGTATATAAATAATATATGTATATCATAATTTCATTGGCTCTTACATATTGTTTGTTACCTAGTAACTAAGGTTGCAACTGTTAATATATATACAGGGTAACTGTTTACTTTGTTATAAATATAAAACTGAAAATAGTTTGTTTGTTTGTTTTGAATTTCGCGCAAAGCTACACGAGGGCTATCTGCGCTAGCCGTCCTTAATTTAGCAGTGTAAGACTAGAGGGAAGGCAGCTAGTCATCACCACCCACCGCCAACTCTTGGGCTACTCTTTTACCAACGAATAGTGGGATTGAGCGTAACATTATAACGCCCCCACGGCTGAAAGGGCGAGCATGTTTGGTGGAACGGGGATTCGAACCCACGACCCTCAGATTGCGAGTCGAGCTCCCTAACCACTTGGCCATGCCGAGTAGTGTAAGACTAGAGGGAAGGCAGCTAATCATAACCACCACCCATCGCCAACTCTTGGGCTACTCTTTTACCAACGAATAGTGGGATTAACCGTCACATTATAATACTCCCACGGCTGAAAGGGCGAGCATGTTTGGTGGGACGGGGATTCGAACACGCGACCCTCAGAATGCGATTCGAGTGCCTTAACCACCTGGCCATGCCGGGCCAATACAGAGTATTACGCCCTTGGAGATCATACGTCATTTTTTTTTTTTTGATAAAGCATCTTTATTCCATCAGTTTCTCCTGGTAGGGGCATATTTCGTCATAGTCAACATTGTTAACAATTCCCAGGATGCTCTTCTTCATGCTGAGATATTTAATTGTAAAAAAAAAAATACAAGCATTCTTCGGGAAAACGTTTTCTCCAAATACACTCTGTAAAATAAAATATTATTTTTTTTAAATTAATAAACCGAATTATATACAGCGAATAAGGCATCGCGATTACATCCCTAAAAATCACTAACACTAAAAGAGTTGTTTTAATGTATCGCTGGTCAGCTTGTGTTCACATTATAAGTTCGAGGATTCCTGGTTCGGGTCCGGTTGCAACAAAAATATGCACCGTGGATACGCTATAAGAATGAGTGTAATATCACTATCTGATCAGAAAAGAGCAGTCCAAGCGTTGGCGGTGGGTAACATTGACGATCTGCCTTCCCTTTAGTCTAGCAGTTCAAAATTAGAAAACGTTATGTGCAGGTAGCTTTGGATGGAACTCTGATACAAAACAAATAGTGAAGCAAAACGTTAGTTGTGTTTTAAATATTTGTATACTACAGTGTCATCCCCCTATTGGATCACAACCGTTGCCAAGGTAATTCGGTTACGTGATGTCATCCTGTAATGGAATGGTGAAGTTGTTTTGTGTTTTTCAGGTCTCATCGCCAGCAGCCAGAACTTGGCTTACGCTATCAGCAAATTTCTGGGCGGAATTTTATCTGACAGAATCAGTTCGAAGCTTCTGTTTTCTTCCGGACTGGTTCTGAGTGGACTAGCTACCCTGGGGTTCTCCGGGTCAGGATCCTTACTGGCTTTCGCCGCTCTGTGGTTCATTAACGGCTTCGCTCAGGGCGCGGGCTGGCCTTCCTGCGCAAAGGTTCTGCGCAAGGTGAGTTTCTTTAAACCTGGAAATGCCAGTTTTTGCTTGGTTGATTGATAAAATTTGATATTGTGTCGCTGAATAAACACTACCAAATATATATAACTTTTAACTGATTCGCTTGGATTGTTCTGAATTTGGCGCAAAGCTACACGAGGACTATATGAGCTAACCATCCCTAATTTAGCAGTGATTGACTAGAGGGAAGGCTGCTAGTCAACATCGCACATCGCCAACTCTTGGGCTACCATTTTACCAACGAATAGTCACGTTATAACTCCCCCACAGCTGAAAGGGCAAGAATATTTGGTGACGGGGATTCGAACCCACGACCCGCAGGTTGCGAGTCGAGCATCCTAACTACCAGGCCTTACTAGGCCTAATAACTTTTAAAAAGTTTCAACCGCTTTATCAAACAAATTTGATTGATTTTATCAATTTGATGAATTTATTTAATTTTAAATACAGTGAGTTGATATTCGGAGCTGAACTAACCATAAAAATTTAAATATATATATATATATGTAATTTCATTTTAAACATCCCTTGTCCTGTGGGAATATAATTTCACGACAGGCACGTTATGAATCAGGAGTTTTTTGTTTTTTTTCATGAATGCTTGGACATGGCGCAAGAAAAACTACATTATATTACAGACTCAAAAAACTTTTCTTGGGGCCAAGTGGACAATGTCCAGAACAGATGTTGGGGCCAAGTGTACAATGTCCAGAACAGATGTTGGGGCCAAGTGGGCAATGTCCAGAACAGATCTTGGGGTCTAGTGGACAGTGTCCAAAACAGTTCTTGGGGTCTAGTGGACAGTGTCAAAAACAGATCTTGGGACCAAGTGCCACCTAATTACTACTGTGCCGGACTGTGGATGTTAGGTTCCATGGACGTGCCACGTTAATGCCAAGAAAAACAAAATCGGTCTTCGCACTTTGGGGTCGTGGGTGCATTATGAGAGTGGCAGTCAAATCCCACTATTTGATTAGACTAGCCCAAGAGTTAGCGGAGGGTGGTGTTGACAAGCTGCCTTCTCTCTAGTCTATCGTTTCACAATTAGGTAATTTTTTTGTAACATAAATAAAAAATATATAAGTAGAAGCGTGTAAACAGAAATGGTCCAAAACCAACAATTGCGTCTAGTTTAACATACAACTTCACTGGATGAGTAATAACACAGCTTGAAACTGAAATTTTTAATTGATCATAGTATTAGGGAACTGTGGTTTGGAGTTAAAACCTAACACTGTGACCAGCTAAGAACTGTGGTTTGAAGTTAAAACCTAACACTGTGACCTTAGCTGGTCACAGTGTTAGGTTTTAACTCCAAACAACAGTTCTTAGCTGGTCACAGTGTTAGGTTTTAACTCCAAACCACATTCTTAGCTGGTCATTAGTGTTAGGTTTTAACTCCAAACCACATTCTTAGCTGGTCATAGTGTTATGTTCTAACTCCAAACCACAGTTCTTAGCTGGTCACAGTGTTAGGTTTTCACTCCAAACATAGCTCCACACATAAATAAATAGAACACACCTTGCCATACAACATTTTAAAAGTAAGAAGCTTTTTTCTCTCTCATATTATTATAATATATATAAGTTCATTGAAAGATGCATCTCCATATGGAACTGTAGCCATTCTGTTTAAGCCGACGATTTTCGAACAAGAAGGCTTACAAAGTCAAAGTTTAGTGACAACTAATCGACCTGGTTTTCAGTCAATTTGATCTAGTGCATCCCAAAATGCTCCAAAAATGATGGATTGTAAGTATATTTGTCTATTCTCTTTACAGTGGTACTCCCCCGACCAGTTTGGAACTTGGTGGAGCATACTCTCAGCAAGTGCGAACATTTCTGGGGGGATTTCTCCCTTTGTTTCAGCTTTCCTTATTGTCAATTACGGCTGGAGGTTCAGCCTTATAATAGCAGGTAAGGATTCAATTTTGAATTACTTTATTTAGGAGTATACTATTTCAACAACTTTTCGAAACACATTATATGAGACAATTAGTGGGTCCTCGCTGCATCTACCTTCAAGAATGCATCACAGGAGACAATTAGTGGGTCCTCGTTGCAAAGAACCTTCAAGAACACATCACAGGAGACAATTAGTGGGTCCTCGTTGCATCTACCTTCAAGAATACATCACAGGAGACAATTAGTGGGTCCTCGCTGCATCTACCTTCAAGAATACATCACAGGAGACAATCAGTGGGTCCTCGCTGCATCTACCTTCAAGAATACATCACAGGAGACAATTAGTGGGTCCTCGTTGCATCTACCTTCAAGAATACATCACGAGACAATTAGTGGGTCCTCGTTGCATTGACCTTCAAGAACACATTACAGGAGACAATATGTGGGGTCTCGCTGCAAAGAGCCTTCAAGAATACATTATAGAGGATAGATAGTGGGTCCTCACTGTAAGTAGCCCACAAAAACTTTATAGGGTAGACCTAGCAGGTCCTTGTGCAAGGAACCTTCAAAGACACATTACAGTAAACATATTTTTTTCAGTAGGTTCTCAAAGGGTGCACTTAATTGATCCTTACTACAAGGAACCTTCAAAAGACATTATAAGGGACACTTTGTGGATATTCGCTACAAAGAAACTTCAAAAATGTATTATGCGGGACACTTGGTAAATATTCATTGCAAGCAATCTTGACATTTATAAAAGTTACAATTATTATGAAAATCTTGCTTTATCCTCAAACTACCATCTAGAATGCTAGCATGTCACTTTTGGCGTTGAAAAAAAAATGGATTAAATTTTGGTCTCGGTTTTGACCTTTGACCCAGAATTTAAAATCTCGCTTCATCCAATGTGACTTTCCTTTAAGAAAACTTCAAACACCTAAATAGTTAAACAGAATTGTCTCCGGCTTTGGGGGGGACGTTTTTTTTAGCCAATTATTAAGTAATGAGGTTTGTGAGTGATGTACCCCCCTTCACCCCCACCCCCATCACCACAAACACTTACCCTAAAACTATAATCATTCTTTTGTTTTTATTCATTTTTGAACCATTTCCTCTTTTCCTTTTTCTATATTTGTTTCTTAGTAATCGTAAAAATCACATACATATATAACAAAAATAATGGGATACCAGTGTGGTATTTGATTTGAACATGAACGTAATTAAAAACGGGGAAAAATTAGTGTTGGATAAAAACTATAGATTGTACCGTCTCCTTTGTGGCTTACACGTGATCTTTTCAGTTGAAAAAAAGCGTTTCGGGAATCTAACACCTGTGTTCACTTTTAAAAGTTGGTCGTCCTGTAAATACACGGTGTTGTTATAATTACAGACTATTTTTGGGTAACAATACGCAGCAAGTACACCACACATTGTTGTATCTTAATACATTTAATTAACTAAATGTTTTCCTTTATCTTAAATACTTAGAAAGCGAGAAAACTTTGAGTGTTGTGGAAGCTAATAGGTTCCAAATTGATATGTTTCTAGCCAAATTGATATGTTTCTAGCCAAATTGATAAGTTTCTAGCCAAATTGATATGTTTCTAGCCAAATTGATAAGTTTCTAGCCAAATTGACATGTTTCTAGCCAAATTGATAAGTTTCTAGCCAAATTGATATGTTTCTAGCCAAATTGATATGTTTCTAGCCAAACTGACATGTTTCTAGCCAAATTGATAAGTTTCTAGCCAAATTGTCGAGAGTGCTTGTATATCTTTCTTGTAAGTTAATTCTCTAGTCATTGTGTTATTTATTTTTAACAATAAGTTATGAAAACGGATTCTTGTAAAACATTTGTTGCTTCGGTTTCTTGTGATCGAACAGAGCTCAGGTTTTCAGTTTTAAATAGCGAATTACTTTTACATCAGGCTTAAACAAATTAGTCTTCAACATATTTGTTTATTTCTTTTTTTCTAAGGTACGATTTCCATCGTGTTGGGGAGCATTTCTATATTTACGATTGTCAACTCACCAAGTGACGTGGGACTTCAAAGTGGGGCGGAAGTAGACGGAAAGAAGAATGATGGTAAAGTACCGGAATACCGGAAAATGTTGTTTGTTTGTTTGTTTTTATTGAATTCCGCACAAAACCACTCGAGAGCTATTTGCACTAACGGTCCATAAGTAACAGACTAGCAGAAAGGCAGCTATTCAACAACACTCGCCGCCAATTCTTGGGCTAATGTTTTACCGACGAAAAATGGGGTTGACCGTCACATTATAACGCTCCCGCGGCTGAAAGGGCGAACATGTTAGGTGACGGGATTCGAAACCGCGACCCGCAGATTGCGAGTTGAACACCGTAACCACCAAGCCATGCTAAGGCCCCACGCCGGAAAGAGCTTAATGCCATTAACAAAGCTAACACAATTAAGCCCACGCCTATGTAATTAACATTTATCTGTTTGCGTTCATGTAGCAGGACAACAGTAAGTCGAATTCGAAATTTCACAAGAACCTCCAGTTCCATGTTATGCGAGCATCATGTAGCAGGACAACAGTAAGTCGAATTCAAAATTTCACAAGAACCTCCAGTTCCATGTTATGCGAGCATCATGTAGCAGGACAACAGTAAGTCGAATTCGAAATTTCACAAGAACCCCCAGCTCCATGTTATGCGAGCATCATGTAGCAGGACAACAGTAAGTCGAATTCGAAATTTCACAAGAACCCCCAGCTCCATGTTATGCGAGCATAGCTCGAAAGTATAAATGATTTTAGATAAGTCTACAGATAATTGTTTGCTGTGAAAATGAGTTAGTGTTATGACTATTAGACCAGAAGTGTTAATGTTCAATATTTCCTACACCTAAAGGAAAACATTACAAGTTATAATAAGTTAACATGACAACATGGGACCTATTGGTCCATTTCGGCTGTTCCATCCTCTAAACTAAATTAAAATGGTTTTTAAAAAAAACAATAAAAAATCTTACAGCCAGTCCTTTTCATTCATATACTTATCAAGCTTTTTCTTAAACTCACTTACATTTACTGCCTCCACAACCCATTCCAAAGGCCAACCACCTTTTTAGAAAAATAAAACTGTCTTAGCTGAATATGTTTCCTACTTTGCCAAAATTTATATTTGTGTTCCCTAGTCCTACTATTCTCATTGTTAAATATGAAAAAAGATGATGCATCAACACTATCAATTCCCTTTAAAATCTTAAACACCTTAATCAGATCCCCCCCTAACTCTTCATTTTTTAAAGAGAAAACAATTTGAGAGATTTCAGCCTCTCCTTATATGACAACCCCCACCCAATCCCAGGCACCATTCTAGTAACCCTCATCTGAACCCTTTCCAACAATTCAATGTTTCTTTTAAG